GCTTAACGTCCCTTTTCTATTCCTATGATTATTTTCATGGCGATTTTTCGAATGAGGTTTACAATTTAAGACGGCGACTCAATGAATTTAAGCTTCCTTTTCACCGTAAAATATATTTTAATAGTTTCTGCTATTGACTTCCTCGCCTGTGGAACTATGTTCAAGCCTCTTGTTTCATTGTCGGTTACGATCCTTGAAAGTTAAATCATTGTGACAGTTAATGAATCGATGAGGCTTAATAGCTTATCTTTAATATTACTTTATCATTTCATGGCAATACTTCTTCAAGTACTGTCAATCATTGTGTATGTATAAGCAGACAGGGGCGTCCTCATTCGAAAACTGGACCTTAAATTCTCTTCTGTGAACTGCGAGATAGACTACAAAGAATTAGCCTGGAATAAGTGTTTGCATATCTACAGTAAAATGTACCTTTATCATACCGGCAACGCAAGCGAAAGAGAGCCGATCAGGTGAAGCTAATTTCGGTGTCTGGGAAATAGCCTCATGCCAACGGTACAACTTGTTTCTCTGAAAGCCACTCAATCTGTTGTGTCATAATCTTGGATGAAACTCATATTTTGTTTTCAATGGGACACTTTCAATTCATTTAGTAAATTTACATTTATATGATAAAAGTATTGATATAATGCATTCATTTTGAAAATAATTAACACCAATTCTGTTTTTAAATGAAATCAGTAATTTTTTTTTAACTGTATGTATCAATACTATATCTCTTTATTGCATATTTCATCACTCTAAACTCGGTTGTTGATACAGACAGCATCCAACTCTTCTGAAACGCAGTACCCACTAACCAACTATGTTTACATCCCTTCTTTGGTTTCCGTAAATGCTAGATAAACATAACTGAATAACAACTACACATATCGGCTTAGTATACACGTTCTTCTACAGCGCAGCTGACTGTCTTCTGTAATAAAATGGCATGTATTACTTTCGGTGCTTTCTTTAGATATTCCTGAATGTTTATGCATATGTGCATGTGTGTTTTTTAGCGCGTGTGTGGTCTGTTGTATTTGTTCCAAAAATAACATAGCCATTTAATAGACAGAGATTCTATTCGCATAAAGTATTTCGAATGAAACTAATTTGTTATTTTATCACCACGTACCATTTTATGCGATATAGCGAAATGAAGTTTAACTTGGCTATCTGACTGGTATCCATGTTTGTAAAGTGCATGAAACCCACAGGCTATAGTAATTTTCTAAGATAAGCTTCGATGTGGCACCAGGCCGAAATTATGGGACATACTTATTTGTTCTAGCGAGACGGGCTTGCTAACCATTACATCACGTCGAGGTGCCCAAACCCACAGGTTATAAACGGTATTAATTAAGCATCGAAAGATAACTTTGTAGCTAATATGGTTATAACTATATTCGCATGCCTCAATATCTGTAATCAATTGAAAAGTGTCACAAACCCTGAAACTATAGCAAAAAAATAAAAGTAATTTCACTGACATTAAGTAGCATCTTCAGTGTCATATTTTTTTAATACTAAGAGCCTCTATTCCATATCCGTTCGAAAAATCAGTGTCTTTATTAGAATTAATACATTTCCTCATTATTTTCTTCTAGTCTCATAGCTGAGACCCGTCAATAATAATTACCATAATCTGACGTGACAGCTCTCCAGTTCTTGCAACCTTCAATGTGCGATTGGTGTCATCTTATAGATTAAGTGCAGCATCTCGAATAGTTTTCTCTTGTCGTTCTTTATCTGTTCCCCTTCCTACCGCAGCGTAATCTGAACATTACAATTACCATCGGTATGATCAGGAGAGCCAATTCAATCAATATCCGTCGTTGTTGCTGTCTGTCTTCCTCTTTTCTTTCGTCTGAAACGTGATCTGTCTTTTTAAAACATTTGTTTTGTTGTCAATTATTCCGTAGCCGGCATCAGATTGTCATCGATGTACACATTATCTCACCGAGCGATAGGCAGCCGTTAAATTTGATCTTAAATAATTACGACAACATATTAGGAAACATAATTGTTTGCAAGACATGTAAAAAAAACCCAAAAAAAAAACCCCTCTCCTGAGAGTTTCAATTCAGAAAACTCTATTACGATATTCATGACAGAAATTAATTCAGTTTTGAATTTGAAGTAGTTTATATTGATTATATTTGTCTTTAAAGATTAAAAAACTATTGCGAAATATGCACTTCTTAATTGCGTTGTTTTGAAAAAAATTTATAAGCATTTTGTTCCAAGTGAAACGACGAGTTATTCTCTTTATTTTCTTCTCTCTAATGTTGTCCGGTTATTGACAATTATTTAGCTTCACTTGCTGGGGAAAATATTTCAAATTAGGAAATCGAATGAGAACTTCAGTGTAATGAGAGCTCGTTGTATACTTTTATTTTCAAACAAGAATATTTTATTTAGGTCATAAATAATGACAGGGATTTGCATGAAGAATAAAATCGATGCTCAGATTGATTATTTTGTGAGAATATTATTCAAATATTTTTCTCTTTTAGTATTTCTTTTCTGCTTTTTTCCTTGCTTTTTTCTTTTTCCCTCCTCAATTAATTTTTCTTTCTTTCTCTTTTACGTTTTTCTTTAATTTTTTTCTCTCTTTTTCTTTCATTCTTTCACGATCTTTTTATTTCTTTTCTTTCCTTCCTTCCTTCCTTCCTACCTTCCTTCCTCTTTTTCTTTTTATTTATTTCTCGTTTCCTTTCTTCTTTCTATTCATTCTCTTTTTCCTTCTTTCTCCTTTTTCTTTCTTATTTTCTTTATTTCATTCATTTTTCTCTCAATTTTTCTCTTAGTTTTTTGTTATTATTTTTATTTTATCTATCCCCATTTTTGCTTCGTTTTTATCTTCATTTCCTGTTTGTTTTTCTCTCTTTCCCTGTGATGTGTCCGTTCAGGACGTGGAAATAAAATTTTCACTATCAGAAATTCTTCCAACTCAAATTGATTAAAGGATCTGATTGACTGACTGAGACATTTGACCAAATACCGTTTTTCAATGTCTTTACAGAGAGTAAGAATAACAGATTTTTTTTCATTAATTATTCAACCAATATAAGGCCCAAGAGCCACTCACTGTAGACAGTTACTGATTGAGGCGAGGAGCGTAGTTTAAAAGAATATGTAGGAAATATGTCGGTAAAACATAAACGTTTGGCAAAGTGACAGAGGAAGAATCATCTTGAGAGCCTGTTTTACGAAGCAACAGTTCTTGGAATAAAGATCTCCGAATGTAACCTTTTTTTATTAACGGAATTTGAAGGGAATTTTAGGATTTCTTCCAGTGTACATGTATGTCACGGATTAAATATGGTGGTTAATGCGGGTAGAACGAAGGAATGTAATGCCGGAAATTTTGCCATAGAAATAACGATCTTCCACCGCGAGGAAAGATGGCTCTCTGTGCCGTGCCAGGAAATTTTTCTCCCCGGAATCGATACTTCAAATATACAAATCAACCATTCGCCCTTACATGAAGTATTGCTACCATATATGGTCTGGGGCACCTTCTGTTTACCTCGGAGTTCTTGATAAGATCCAGAGACGGATATGTAATGTAATTGGCCCGGATCTAGCGTCTCGTCTACAGTCACTCTCTCACAGACGCCCAGTCGCCTCTCTCTTTCTTTTCTACAAATACTTTCATGGTAATTGCTCCGATGAGCTGCTTTCACTGGTTCCCAGACTCCATGAATTCAAGCGCCCTACGAGGCTGGCATCCCGCTCCCCCTTACACTGTAGAAACTTTTAAATGTAGCCGTCTCTTCTACTCCAATAGCTTCATACATCGCACCTCTCGCCTGTGGAACACCCTTCCCAATTACTGTTTTCCTGAGAGCTATAATCTCCAACTATTCAAATGTAATGTCAATCGACATCTCCAATTACCTTGATCTATCCACTATCCCTCTCCTCATCCTTCCTTCTATCACTCCTATCTGCTCTCGTTCCAAATCTTCTGCAACCCCCTGCATCCTAGTGGCTTCACGCCTTGCTCGGGGCGTAATGCTTAAAATTTTTTTTAAAAAATGCGAATATATTGCGAAATTTCGTCTGTGATATACACCCTTGTGCAAATTAATTGAAACAGCCGCTTTAGTTTTCTTCCTTTCATCATACGGTCAGTTTTAGACCCACAGGAGTGAGTGGGTGTAATCAATTTCTATTTTTTCCCCTCAGATTAGTGTCATTTGCACTGGTGTGCAGTAATTTAAATTTATTTTCGGGATGTATTTTGGAATTTGTTTGACCTTGAAAAATATTTCGTCGTCCGTGATTGCCTCAAATTTTTATCACGCCCAGTTACTATTATCTCGACTGTCAATTAGTTGTCCTTCGGCCGTTGGCTGCGATCGACGTTACTCCAAGGACGTGTACAAAACTTGTAAGCCTTACCAGTGAGTAAAATCAAAGCTCTATAGCTTAGCCCGGAAACTCCCCTGATTGAAATACAGTCGATGATCTGTGGCCTGTCTGTGAGGAACAACTTCGTGGAATTGACTTACGAAATACTGACACATGCACAGAATCAGGTTTCATTCGAAAAAAGCGAAAAATTAAATAATAACAGAATTATTCTTTGTTTTTCAATTAATTTGCACAAGGGTTTATGTGTTGTAAACCAGAAAATAATCGCCCATAAAGCCACGAAGAAGATTTTGAAATCTCTCAAGGTGGGAAAGTGAGCTTCACAATTTATATATAGACCAGAAACAAGACACATGTACATTAATACTTCTTTTAAATAGTAAGACTTGTGTCACACAATAATTATGTCCCCAACAGTCTGATCCGATCAAGGATTTCTACGCATCATTCTGCAAAACCACACCCCTGTTGTATCAAGCCCCTGTGAGAAAAGTCTCGGAAATAATGGTGCAGAATTGATATTACATTACTGATAAAAATTATTTGATTTGTTTCTATGAAACTTGTCCTGATTCTTAATACTTTGTGTCGCATTTTAAAAGCGTATTTCGATATGTAGATGCACCTACGGATCTCAAATATATTTCAATAAAACATTAATTTATTTAATTTTAATTTAACTTTCTTTCCAACACGGAAGTTGATGTTTGGAATGTTATAGATTTTAATCATATTTCAAGAGACATAAACTTTCTTCATTATTATTTTAAATCATTTCACCCCAAGTAGGGCAATAATGCCACTAAAAGGCAAAAGGATACACTGTTTGAAAGACTAGAAGAGAGAAAAAAAAACAATGACATTTTTAAGATGAGGGTACGGCAAAAACAGAGGGATTAAGAAAAAAGAAAATAAAGGTTGACATTATATTTAACTTTTTCAAGTTCAAATTTGTTTTGAAAGCAAGAGGCCGAAGAAATGTCTACAATCGGCAGGTGCAAGAAAAGAAACTGATATCAGAGAACATAGAAATGACAACAATTACAACTCCAAAATAATGCCACATTGGCACTGCGCATAAAGTCTTATACTCGAATTAACAAAAAGGAAAGGTAAACAAGACAATTGCCAGAATCTTTTTTTATAGGAAATGTACATAGAATCTAAGACAAGACTCTTGGAACGTGTCACATTATGAAATGGCAGGTGATTTATTGGAAACATCAGTAAAATAGTGATTTCGAATAATTTGTTTTATCTGAAATGTTCTGCTTTTTTTCATGTTCCATTCGATCCTCATATATATCGGCGAATGCTGCACAATCTGCTCAGAGATAAAAAAAAGACACCTGGGACAAAAGAAATGCGTCTCTACAGATGGATGCTGAGAATGCCATGAGCTGATCATATTAGAAACGAGTAAGTTTTATGGAAACAAAAAGGGAATATGGAAGCAAAAAGGACAATTAAACATAGAATTAGAAAGAGACATTTGAAATTTCTAATAAAGAAAAACGGCATGGAGAATATGACACTCACAGGACATATTGATCGCAAGATCATCAAAGATATACAGCGAATTACCTAAGTAACGCATCTGTTTAAAAGGTTGGATAGAATAGAGATTAGTGGAGATTTTAAAAAAAAATCATTACGAAGACTTGCAAAGTGTAGGAACTTGTGTAGAGCAATTATTGCCTTGGTTCTGAAGGAACACATCACACAGAAGATTTTTTAAAAGACATCTATTATTATTCTAGTTCGCCTTCTGCTTTCTCTGTCATATTTTAGTCGACTGTTAAAACACTTCGTATAGACTGATCTTTTTTTATTTATTATTTTATGAATACACTAAATATTTTCCATCTCCAACGTAATTAAATACATATTTTCCTCTAAAATATTCCTTCAAGCCTCACGTTTTGCGACGTTACATTTTAGAACTATTTTCCTCCATGTATACTGTTCAATGTTTCAGTAAAAGAGAAACGAAACGCTAGTAATATTCTCTCAATTCAATTCATAGACATTTATTTCTCTTATTTGTTCAGTTGTTCTAACTCTTTTTTACTTGTTGGTTTCTAGTTAAATCATTCTTCTCTCTGACGGAGCCGCAGGTATGGTAATGGAAATGTCGATCAAGGTTAGCATAGACCTGGATCGATCATAACGATGCCATTAAAGAAAGTGTCCCTTCAGTGGAGAGAAAAGCATACCAGTCAATTTTGTATATTCGCATTGGCCCAAGTCATGCAGTTTTCCCACATTACCGATATGGTTCAGTGGATATAAAATATCAATATTACCGAAAACAATACCGATTTCAACAGAAAATATACAAGAATGGTTTTAGAGAAACTAAGATTTATCAATGATAAATGACTCGACATATTATACTAGATAAAAAAGCACAATTCTCCTAAAATGGCCATAACGCTAGCGCAAACGGAAGGAGAGGAAATCTCCAACAAAAATCATGTATTTTCTAGGAGGAAGACGACTTTTAAGGTAGTTTTATATTCGTTGTGTACCCTTGTATGCCAGGAGGTATGCAGTAACAATTAATCAAACAACAGCAGTAGAAGGCCTGTCAACATGTGAGATGAACGCATTTTAGGTGGACGCTTTGCGTTCGCGTCAAGAAGCAGAATTTTTTCAAATTCGTGCAATGAGAAAAAATGAAATAAAAATATTAATGGTAACCATGTAATCCCATTTACAAACTGTCGTACTCAAAGGTCCAATTGCATTAGAATCTCAGGATATATCTATCGTCCGAAAAGACACATAAATATATGTATGTCTGTGATTCGATAGATGTAGCTAACTCGAAAACTGAGAGCATTTTCTTAATCTATTACTTTAATTATCATTAATCAAATGCTCGTAGTGCAGGAATTTAGGAAGACATTGAGTACAGGATTAAATTCATACCCAGGTAATTTTGATATTTGATATTTCACTGTAATAGTTACTTTTTTAAATCGATATATCTGTCTCTTTCTCTTTTGCGCACACTCTGTCTCTCTTTTATTATGTACATATATATATATGGGACTTACTAGTAAGACATAAATCTATCATTTTACATATATTGTTGTGGTAGGATCCACCTAATTTGCATAGTGGAGTACCGACCATATAAATATGGTTGGTACCGGGAAGAGAGGAGTGGAATCAAGAGATTCAACCAGAGACTCTGCCCGACTGCGACTCAGTCAACACATTCTCCAGGAACGGTCTTACCAGGAATATACAAAAGACTATATGTAATTATTGTGTACATTTTCTTGTTTCAATACATTTTGTTCTAAGTACATTTTGTGTTGCATTATTATTCCATGCATTAGTCAAGTTTCAACACACACACACACACACACACACACACACACATATATATATATATATATAATCATTCGCTGTTTTATCTCTTTTTATTATCTATCAAATCTATAATTTTTCATATCTATCTATCTATCAATAGTTACCAGCAGTTGAAGAAATGGAAGTAATAATTATCTATCTATCTATCTATCTATCTATCTATCTATCTATCTATATATATATATATATATATATATATATATATATATATATATATCGAGCTAGCAAATAAGATTAAAATCTATCATTTTCCATATCTATATATAACTATGTATCTATATATTCAATTTCATTTTTTATCTCTGTTCAATATGTATCAAATCTATCATTTTTCATATCATTATCTATCTATCTATCTATCTATCTATCTATCTATCTATCTATCTATCAAAGAGCGAACATATCTACCTATATGTACATATGTATGACTGCGTAAGCCAGTGGAGAAATTTGCAAGTTGGTAACAAATGACACCAAGAAGTTGTGTTTTCCAACTTTCTACAAACTTTGTGTCACGGTCTTCAAAATGTCGTTCGGTTTAAAGGTCCTAGCTCTTGCTACAAATCCTTACAATGATATCTTTTGATGGCAATACACGACAACCCGATGACACCCATTATATGTATGTGTATATCAGTTTATTCAAGTCTATCAATGACGGTGTTGTTTGCATCTTTAAATATAGCACAACCCACTGGCAGATAGATAGATAGATAGATAGATAGACAGATAGATAGATAGATAGATAATATAGGAGACAATACAGGCTTGTGATGGCCAGTTTCTTCTTATCTTGTGTTAGAACATCTATATGGGATAGACATAGAGGCAGATGGAGATTTCGGGGAAATAGGAGAAAGGAAAACTCTTTTCCTAGATTAATTTTTATTTATTTTATAATTAATTATTTTAGTAATCGAAATTACATCATTTGATTTGGCTTAGCGTGGAGAACTGTTCGGTCATTTTAGGACGCAGTTTAGTTGGCTATCAGAAGATTTTAAAAACAAATAATGCAATTGGCTTAGAAACTTTTACCCTCGAAATTTGAAGTAAAGCATATTGTTCAAAAAGCAACGAGATGGAGATATCTTTCACACGACAGTAAACTTTAATAAAATGTCAATGACAAAGTGAACGAATTCGACAAATGAGAAAGACAAAATGTAAGTACCGTGCAAAAGATTTTGAACAATAAAAGTTATGCTATAAAAATTAAATTAATATTATGTTAATTTTAGAATATGTGAAGTACTTCATTTTTCCTATTTTCCTAAAATGAAAATGGGAACATTAAAATATTTAAATAATCTGGATAAATTTTGAATATGTTTAGTCAACTTATAATGGAACATTTTCAAATGATAACAACGAAAACATTTAATTTCAATAAATCTCTTGTCATCCCCGATTACTTTAAAATATTCACCGAACCACAAACCATCACGATGATTCATATCAAATCATTATATACTTCACAACTATCTATAGGCCACTGATAGATAGATAGATAGATAGATAGATAGATAGATAGATAGATAGATAGTTGGATTGTGATAAACAGATTTTGATTGACAGAAATAAAAACAGATTGTGATAGATAGATAGATAGATAGATAGATAGATAGATAGATAGATAGATTTAGGACAGATAGATAGATAGATAGATAGATAGATAGATAGATAGATAGATAGATAGATAGATAGATAGATAGATAGAAAAATAAACAGATAAATACATAGATAAATAGATTGATAGATAGATAAACAGTTTGTGACAGATAGATAGATAGATTGGTAGAAAGATAGGTAGATACATAGAACAATAAACAGATAGATAGATAGATAGATAGATAGATAGATAGATAGAACAATAAACAGATAGATACATAGATAAATAGATTCATAGATAAAAAGATTATGACAGCTAGACAGACAGACAGATAAAGAGATTGTGATAGATAGATAGATAGATAGATAGATAGATAGATAGATAGATAGTATCGGTAAGTGCGTCGGTTGTACGATTTATGCATTGTTATTTGGTAAACATTGAAATTTGTTTTTCGTAACTATCTTTGCTGAACAGAAATACCCTCCCTTTTCGTGGATGGCCTATAGCAGTTACCATTATCATTGTTCTACTAAGACATTCCTTTGAGAAATTTTGTATGCCGTATAATGATATTAGCGACATTCACGAATTTAAAGCAGTCTGAAAGATGTAAGAATTTTGATAATACTTTGTTTCATATATAATATAAGCTACTATGTCTACTATAATGCTTATAGTGAAGACTTCTATTTATATATCGCGTCCCTCAATTTCCAGCTGTGATCTAAATGCTAGGATCATTACCAAATTTTAGTACAGATAAAACTTTATTTGAATTACTAAGTTATTTAATTATAAAAACATTAACAAAACATTTGCTTATTCATAAATTAAAAAAAAAATAAACAAGAATGGAAATACCACGCAAAGCGTATTTTTCTTTTTAAAATACGATTATTAAAAATGAATATGCCTATTAGAGAAGGACCAGTATGTCGAGTAAAACATGACAGCTGCAGACAGATAAAAATACTAAAATACGATTATGTATTTTTGCACAATATTTTCACACCACACATATATACATACATATATGCACATCGATATTTACATATTTAATTATATTTGAGTTTTCCGTGAAGACACAGAGCCAGTTACACAAACGTTGTGTTTTACATATGAGGTGGAGTGTATAATTTATACATAAAATAAATTCGAAAAACATTAATGGCATGATCGATATTGACATTTCGTATTTCATTCTGTCAAGTTGGCATAATCAATTATTACATCTCGCTTCCGTTAAAAATAAGAACAAATCGAAATATGAAGATAAAAGTAACACAAAAGCCGTGAAATTTATTCGAACAACCTGTAGCTGAAAGGTGAAAATGTAAATAAATGAAGGCTTTTCCAAGTGTTCGCCAAAAACTTGATTGCCGACGGCATAGGAACTGTGAAACAATGTGAGTTCAAAAGAATTATACGAAATGACATTTTCAGAGGAAAGAATATTAAAAGTGCACCGAGAAACTGAGAGAAAGAGAGAAAGAAAAAAAGTGTGAAAGAAAGAAAGAATGAAAGAAAAAAGAAAGAATGAAAGAAAAAAGAAAGACAGAGCGAAAGAAAGAAAGAAAAAATGAAGAGTTAAAGAAAGAAAGATAGAGTGAAAGACAAACATAAAGAAAGAAAGAAAGAAAGAGTGAGTGAAAGAAAGATTGAATGTAAGACAGAAAGAAAGAAAGAGTGAAAGAAAGAAAGAAAGATAGAATGAAAGACAGAAAGAAAGAAAGAGTGAAAGAAAGAAAGATGGAAAGAGTGAAAGAAGGAAAGAAAGAACGAAAGAAAGAAAGAAAGAAAGAAAAAGATAGAATGAAAGAAATAAAGAAATAAAAATAGAGTGAAAGACAGACAGACAAGAAGAAAGAGTGAAAGAAAGAAAGAAAAATAGAATGAAAGACAGACAGAAAGAAAGAAAGAAAGACAGAGTGAAAGAAAGAAAAAAAAAGAGTTAAAGAAAGAAAGAAAGAAAGAGTGAAAGAAAGAAAGAAATAAAGAAAGAGTGAAAAAAAGAAAGAAAGATAGAGTGAAAGACAAACAGAAAGAAAGACAGACAGACAGAGTGAAAGAAAGATGGAATGAAAGACAGAAAGAAAGAAAGAAAGAAATAGTGAAATAAATAAATAAATAAAGAGTGAAAGAAGCAAAGAAAGAAATATAGAATGAAAAACAGAAAGAAAGAAAGAAAGAAAGAAAGAACAAAAAGAGAAAGAAAGAAAGAAAAATATAGAATGAAAGAAATAAAGAAAGAAAGATAGAGTGAAAGACAGACAGACAAGAAGAAAGAGTGAAAGAAAGAAAGAAAAATAGAATGAAAGACAGACAGAAAGAAAGAAAGACAGAGTGAATGAAAGAAAGAAAAAATGAAGAGTTAAAGAAAGAAAGAAAGAAAGAGTGAAAGAAAGAAAGATAGAATGAAAGACAGACAGACAGACAGAAAGAAAAAAAAATAGAGTGAAAGACAGACAGACAGAAAGAAAGAAAGAAAGAAAGAGTGAAAGAAGGTAAGAGTGAAAGAAAGAAAAGAAAGAAAGAAAAAAGAAAGAAAGAAAGAAAGAAAGAAAAAGATAGAATGAAAGAAAGACAGATTGAAAGACAGACAGAAAGAAAGAAAAAAAGATAGAGTGAAAGGAAGAAAGAAAGAGTGAAAGAAAGAAAGAGAAAAGAAAGATAGATTGAAAGACAGACATACAGAAAAAGATATTTGAATGTGTTAACCACTGTCTGACATTATTAATCAAAGGAAAAAGCAACGCCACTATTTCATACCACATTAAAACAGACATGTATTGAAGTAATCACTTCCGAAAAAAAATAATTGCCTACCTGAACATGAGTATCAATGGAAAGACATACCCTTTCTTTCTTCTGGACTTATTTTGCTACGAAATATTTAAATTTGGAAAAAAAAAAAAAAAAAAAATTAACAAGTGATTTCAATAATATTATCTCAACCATAAATTAAACACTATTTCCATTATTCGGACTATTGTCTTCATCTTTGTCGCCATATTTATCACAACGTTTCGGACTTTGTACGCTCCGGCCTTCTTCAGGTCGTTGGAATGTCGAACAGAACCCTTTATGTCGCTCACTGGGATAGACTGCTCTAGTTCCACGTGCCATGTTTTAATGAATGTCAGTTATCAGTTATCTCCTGTTAATTCCCCTCTGAAAGTTCCCCACTTCCTTAAATGGGTATTGAACCATTAAGAAGACATCTGGTTATTCATAAATTTCACAAATAAATAAATAAAAAAAGATTGGGAATAGAGCTCAAAGCGTATTTTTCTTTTTAAAATACGATTATTAAAAATGAATATGCTTATTAAAGAAGGACCTGTATGTTGGAGTAAAACATGACAGCTGCAGACAGATAAAAATACTAAAATACGATTATGTATTTTTGCACAATATTTTCACACCACACATATATACATATATACATGCACATCGATATTTACATATTTAATTATATTAGAGTTTTCCTTACCGACACACAGACAGTTAAACAAACGTTGTATTTTACATATGAGGTCGTGTGTATAATTTATACAAAAAATAAATTCGAAAAACATTAATGGCATAATCGATATTGACATTTCGTATTTCATTCTGTCAAGCTGGCATAATCAATTATTACATCACTTTTGGTCCTGTCCAGACACCTGAAAAAGGCCGGAGCGTAAAGCGGCCGTAACGTTGTAATAAATATGGCGACAAAGATGAGGACAATAAGTCCGAATAATATAAATAGGGTACATAATACCTCATCTCAGAAATAGAGACAGATAATGAAATAAGACTGAAATCCACAAATAATTCAATTATATTTGTCTGCAAATATGTTTGGGCGAAAATGCCTTTTTCCTTTCTATTTTAATATGTGACTCGACGAAAATGTTAAGAAAAAAGGCGTTAATCTCAGTGCTAAACTGGAGCTGTAAAGAAGTTAGGTGCATCAGTGCTTTAGGAAAAGTTTATGCACAACCTTCCTTGAAAAAAAATCTGCAATCGATATCTTATTTCCAAGAAGGGCGAGACAGAATAGAGGATTCCCTTACCTGTTTAGCAAAATCAGTTTTTGGGGATCGAATCGATATTGGTTAAGATTTCTTTATGTAGTAGTGACGACTGACATTGGAAGTAATAGCTAACCTCAGCTGGTTCAGTCCAATTTTTTTTTCTGAGAAATTAAATTTGAAATAATATTATGCACTTCATGAAAAAAAATCTGTTGCTTCCAAATCAAGAAAACCAGCAGAAGGAAAAGATAGGGTGACACTTTCTAAGACATTGACTACGTTTGTTATTTTCCATTTTAGAGAGGAAAAAATCGGTAAGATTCGTTTATTAAAAAAGAAATTTGTTCTGCTAAATATTAAGCAAAATTTCACCGTGTAATTTCTTTCCTACAGACAATATCTCTGCCCATTCAACACATTGGACTCTTTTAGGTATTGTGATGATTTAGAATCGTCTATTTTTTTCTTCTGATTTCCATGAAAGGATACGACGGTTAGATCATTTAACTAGGTTTGCGTAAACAGATTAAAGAAGAGGACTTATCAGAGATCCTATAAAAACCTATAAAAGTTATTAAGCGCTACAAGGGATAAGAAAATTATGAAGAGCGATTATCGTCCTGATCAAGATAGGACATGGCACAAAGAACATTAAAAATGCATTACATGTCAAAAGAGAAAAATTTGAACGTTAGACATCATAATCGTCTGAAAAAGGATTCATCAAGGAAAGACCTGAAACATTGGAAGAACCGATAAAATGCTAAATGATGTTTTCGATCAGCATCCCAAGTCGGGAAATGTACAAGGACATGTTCCACGAAAAGAAAGCGTATTGAAGAACTAGAAGTGGATCCGAGACAGAAATGTTATAAAGTCATGTACTTTGGCTATTTCCCCAGTAAGAGGAGGGGGATATTAATACTAATAAAAATAAAATATTTATAAAAATTAATATCAAATGTGGGATGCAGTTTTGGAGTAAATAGTACCCTACAGTAACAGCGACTATATGAACTAGTCCATAACTCTAAATAGTAAAAGTTTTGAAGTAAATAGTACCCTACAGTACCAGTGACTATATGAACTAGTCTGTAACTATAAACAGTAAAAGTTTTGAAGTAAATAGTACCCTACAGTACCGGTGACTATATGAACTAGTCCATAACTATAAATAGTAAAAGTTTTGAAGTAAATAGTACCCTACAGTACAAGTGACTATATGAACTAGTCCATAACTATAAATAGTAAGTTTTGCAGTAAATAGTACCCTACAGTACTAGTGACTATATGAACTAGTCCATAACTATAAATAGTACAAGTTTTGAAGTAAATAGTACCCTACAGTACCAGTGAAACTATAAATAAAGAGCCCCTGGTTAGACATAACGAAAAA